ATGAAATTAGATTGCAGGAATTACGAAGCAAGCATAGGCCAGCTGTGATAGCTGCACTTGAGGAAAGATCAAAGGGACTTCAAGCCTGGAGGGATTCTAAGGGCCTGGCCTCCAAATTATATAATTTCAAGCAAGACCCAAAATCTGTTTTGGTGGATAGCAAAGCCTCATTGACAAATGGGAGTTTGTCTCGATCTGAATCAGGATCAAGTAATGCAGATGAACTGTTAGTTAGCCTGACTGGGGATGGGGAGGTAGATTCTGTTCAAGATCTTCAAGCGCAGGTAATTTTTTGTCATTCCTATTGGCTTGAAGATGCTTCCCATAGAAAAGATCACTTGATACCTACAGTGGAACCCCTCCTAGAAGTTGACTGAATTTTTTTTCAGGTTCTGTGGTTGAAGGCTGATCTCTGCAAGTTGCTTGAGGAGAAACGATCAGCTCTGCTTAGGTTAGTTTCGTTTCTCAATAATAACTGAAAACGAAACAGTAGAAGCTTTATTTCTCCTTATTCTTCCTCAATATGTAACGTCTCCAATCTTCCTATTTTGTGGTAGAGCTGAAGAGTTGGAGATAGCACTCATGGAGATAGTCAAGGAAGACAATCGGCGTCAACTGAGTGCCAAGGTATTCTCATAAAGATTACCACTTGACAGTTATTTTTCTACTTAAGCTCTAAGCTCGCATTATGTTACTTGTTTCCATGTTCTGAATACAAATACCACTTTCACCATCATTGCTTTCCTTTCTCTCTTTTCTTCTCCTGCTGGTTCCTAGTCTCTCATCTCTGTGCTGATATAATTTGAAGGCTCATTGGTGCTAAGTTAATTTTGAGATAGTCTTGAGATGTGATATGCTACTTGTCATGAATGTGGACTTCAGGTCGAACAGTTAGAGCAAGATATGGCCGAAGTTCAGAGACTCCTTTCTGATAAGCAGGAACAAGAAGGTGCAATGCTACAGGTTTGCATTTGCATGATCAGTCTGTTTTTTCTTTTCGTTTATGGCTGATAAAAGTTCTGAGATGAATTGATACTTATGAAGGTCTTGATGCGAGTGGAGCAAGAACAGAAGGTTACAGAAGATGCACGAAGATTTGCTGAGCAGGATGCAGAAGCGCAGAGATATGCTGCTCAAGTCTTGCAGGTAAAAAAGTTTGCACTGACTCCTACTAACATAAATGTGGCTAGGCTATTTAGTTTCAAAGAGCTTCAACTGTCTCTAGTTATAGGTCATTACTCACCTCCCATGGAGTAGAGTTACACATTAGTTTAATGAAATGGAATCTCTGTATATTCTGTATTAACTTTTGTCTGCAACTATTCAGAGCTGCTTGTTTCAAATGCTACTTTATTTCCTCATCCTTTTTTATACCCTCCAGTTTATCTTAGATCTTTTGTGTAACGGAAATGATTAATGGTCCAGGAAAAATACGAGGAAGCTGTTGCTGCACTTGCTGAAATGGAGAAGAGAGCAGTGATGGCAGAGTCCATGCTCGAGGCGACTTTGCAGTATCAATCTGGCCAACTCAAAGCACAACCTTCACCACGGTGTGTTCTTTTTACCTGATACAACTCAAAACATAAATTATGTACATAACAATAAACACAACGGGTTATGCCTAGTGAAGTGACTCACCCGTGTATGTTCTTAATTGGGTATATACATATGTTACCGATACAGGCCAGTGAACCAAGATTCGCCTGTCAAAAATATCAACGATAATTTTCCAGAACCTCCTCCAAGCAGAATCAGTTTGCTAGCACGGCCATTTGGGCTAGGGTGGCGTGACAAGAACAAGGTAAGTCTTCTTCTTACATAAAACATATCTAGAGACGGCTTCAGCCAAGAAACACCTCGAAATTAAAACCAAATAGTTTATCCTGTTTATGCATCATCATATATGAACTGACCCGCAATTTGCAGAACACAACACCTGAAAAAACTCCGGAGCATGTAAGTGACGAGAAGCCATCATCAACAGAGGGAAAAGAGACTAACTCTGAACCAACAGAGGCCAATGTCCAAGACATTTCCTAGGTATAATACCCCTTGAAGCTCTCGTTTCCACTCCCATCTTCAAATGTTAGTTCTTAAATCGTCCCAAAGTGTAGACGCAATAGCTTCTCAGTTCTCAGTCACCCATTTTCCATATTTCCGGATTGTAGTTTTGGACATAAGTTCTAAATGTGTTCATTTGTTGTTTGTGATATGTTACAAATATATTCATTTTGAGGTGGGATACATACAAGACATGAATGGTGTATAGTTCATTAATCTGTAAACTAGCAAGGTTCTCTTGGTCGTGGATACCACCAGTTTTATTATATATGAATTTTGTGAAGAATGCTATCCTTCGACAAATTAGCCTCGACTCATACCAACTAGGCAACTACTCGTTTGTGTTGAATAAAATTTCCTTCAACATACAAAGTGCAACCATGAGCTTAAACTCATACCAAGTACATTGGTTATGTTATCATAACATTTGAACATGATACATGACGTTCTCAAAAATGCCTTATCTCATGGTTTGTAACCTCATAAAACCCGGTACACAATTACTTCTTAAAAGTGGACTCATTCTTAAGAACTGTGGGAAACAAAAACACAGAAGTACACGCAGCATTCTACTGATAGCTTACTCCTTCACCATTTATAACCTCTCCTACGCGATAGGCGACATAGTCCCCATCCTTGGCTTCTTGTAGTATTCGCGAAGCCGCCTCTGGAGTAACCACCATAACCATCCCTATTCCCAGATTAAACGTCCTTCTCATCTCACTGTCTTCTATTCTCCCAGACTAAATAATAAACCAGAAAACAATCAAACATTTTCAAGAATAAACAATCGTTCTGTTCAGGGTATCTATGATTATCTCCTCTTCCATTACCTGCTGGATCCATTTGAACAAAGGTGGAAGTTCCCAAGCATCAGTGTTAATAACAGCACCCAAACCATCAGGGAAGACTCGGGGAATGTTGTCTGTGAAACCTCCACCTGTTATATGAGCTATCCCCTTCACTCCTCCTCTACTGATTATGTCAAGCACCTGTGAATAGCAGAGAGAGAGACAGAGAGAAAGTCATAAAACTGTTACAAATGTAATTATAGAAATTTCTGTTGACAAGAAAACCAACCTGTTTTACATAAATGACAGTGGGTGCCATTAGAGCTTCACCAAGTGTACTTGATCCACCTGGAAGTGCATCATTCAGCGAAAGATTGCTTCGAGCCAATACCCTGGAACAATTTCGATGCCCATTGGAATGTGGTTAAGTGGCATGAAATCAAAAGATTAAATTCTCGACTATCGCAAACCTTTTACCTTCTTACTAAAGAGAAACCATTGGAATGAACGCCACTAGAGGGGAGGCCAATAAGAACATCTCCAGCAACAATGTTTTTTCCGTTGATAACAGCATCTTTTTTTACTATGCCTACTGCAAACCCACTGAGATCGTACTCGCCTTCTGCATAAAAGCCAGGCATCTCTGCAGTCTAAAAAGAGCCAAAAGGAAAATTATGGAAAGATGCGTAAACTACATTTTCTGAATCTGCAATTGAGTGCAACTATAACACATACCTCTCCTCCTAAGAGAGCACATTCCGATTGCCGACAACCTTCAACAATCCCTTTAATGACCTGGAAACAAGCACACATCAACATCAAGTCCTAAAGCATGCTCAAACTAAAGGGGAAAGAGATGAAGCAATGGTACCTTTTCTGCAAGGTCTACATCAAGACGACTAGTAGCAAAGTAATCTAGGAAAAACAGAGGTTTTGCACCAGAAGTAATAATATCATTCACACTCATAGCAACCTGTAAAAAAAGCAAAACAATGAGGATTTGTTTGGGGACTAACATAAATAAAACACAAACAAAAAGACAATATCTTTACCAAGTCGATTCCAATGGTGTCATGAATTCCAGTCTCAAATGCCAATTTCAGTTTCGTTCCTACACCATCCGTACCAGCTACGAGATAATCATCACCTGCTCAAACAAAGCCACACACACTCATTCATTAGAAGACGGAAACTTTCAACATCCAGGTGAAATTTTGAAGTTTTAAAGATAGATATATGTACCTAGTGGAAAGAGACCACCGAATCCGCCAATTCCAGGAGCCATCTTCGCTATACGTTTAACAAGCTCAGTCCCAGCATCGATATCAACACCAGAATCTTTGTAAGTGAGACTATCAGTGTCATCATCTTTCTTGGACATGGATATAACACGAGATACCCTAGTCGTCTTCTGAGAAAAGCTGACGGAGAGTGGTCTTGGTGATGACACAGAGGAGAAAAGGTGTCGATTCACAGTGTCAAGAGACGAAAAGCAGGCAGAAGAAGACTGCAAAATCCGAGCTTCCATGGCTTCAACAGTAGCAGATACAACAAGAGAGTAAGAGCAGTAGCAATTAACAAAAAGGCTAAAACTTTCAAGAGACTAAAGATAAAAAAAGCATACATAGGGTCGGAAAAAGTTAAGGCAATGGCGATTATATTTCGCAGGAACGAGAGACTGAAACTAAGCAAATGGATAGAAGAGAGGGATTCAACAAAGGTTGAAAGAACGAAAGCTAGTCATGACTTACCGGAGAGAGACACTGAGAATTGAGGCGACGCCGGGATAGAGTGACTGGAGTAGTTTCAGAGAGAGAGAGAGAGAGACTAATGAGGAAAAGCAGAAAACAAATACGAATGCTTTAAAACCCTAAACACTCTGCTCCTTGTTTTTGTCTTTATTTTTATTTGTTTGCTACCAAAAAAATTGAAAAAAAAATACGAAATTAAAGTTAATGAGATAAAACATTAATCTATTGGTGAATTAATTTGCCAATATTAGTTTTAATTTTATTTTTTCGATGTTATGACACTAAAATTTGTCAAAGTCTTGCGTTTGTTATACAGAAAAGGTTTAGATTAACGACTTAACTGGGGCAATGTTTTATTCTCTTTGTGAGGACAAATATAACTGGTCGATAGTCTTACTTTTTCCAAGAGCTTTGTCAAACAGATTTCTTTTGAGAGACAACACAACCACAGACAAAAGGCGTAATAAAGAAACCAGTTGCAACATTTAAAAACATACATAAACAAAGACGCAAACAAACCATACACACACAAATATTATATATATATCAACGTATGTACTACTAATTCACAAGCTGATAAGCGTTTGATCAATCTTTCCCTTCTTCTTCACTTGATCCATCCCCAGCATTCCTGAACCACAGCCAAAACCCAATGGATCAGACTATCACATTCCTCAACTTGTAAGGTATATATAGGATATAAGAAGAGTGAAGAATCTTGAAGCTTACCTCCAAGATGATGTTAAATTCCGAGTTTTCCTGTCCAGCTGAAGATTTTCCAGTGCCGTCGAAGCTTTCATCACCTCTTCCGGCATATCTTCACTGTCGTATCTCCAATTGTATTCGTCATTTCTGTACCCAGAGGTAGTGGTTCCAGATGCTTGAGATGCAGAAACCGGCCTGCCCATTTTAATTAAGCATGCCAGACTCATAAGCAACATGGAAGATTAAACATCTTTGATATGGCAAAACAATGAATTTGGAGTTACCTTCGTTGAGGTAGTAAGCTATCAGATGATCTGCGAGGAGGATTTCTGGAGTCGAGGCTTGATGAGGACTCCGTTTCACACTCTCTCATTGAACTACCGCCCATGACCTGCGTCATGTTCTGAAGTAAAAATCATTTAAGAAAAAATGTTAGATGACTAAATCTGAGGAGTATACAGCAGACAAATTAAAATGGTTTTACTATTAGAGAATGGAAACATAATCCTTGGATGTGACAATAACTTGAGGCTTGCAACTTACCGAACTTGTTTTTCATATCTCTGAAAAAATTTGATATCGAGTAAGACACTTTATTTACTTGGAAAAAGTGAGAGGTCTTGAGTACAATATAACAAGATTTTATGTAATTTGGTATTTGTAAAGCTTAGATGTAACCAAGATGTATGGTCATCTTCACTTAAAGAATAGGATTTGATAACACTTAACGCTCGGAAATCACCTACCATAGCTGGACTATTGTAATTTCTAATAAGTACGTTGTCAAGCTTGTAAACAGAGAAAACAAGGGATAGGTAGTAAAATCAGATTTCCTCTTTGCTGCAAACATCTTCACAGGGAAAAACAGAAGAAATAAATACCTCGAACTTCAAGAATCCTTGAAGAACATCCAGAAGAAGCGGTCTATCTCCATTTCTGGTGAGCTCATAAACATTGTTGCTACTAAAGTCACGTACCTCAGACTTCCAAGAATCTTTTGCCTTTGCATAGGTTTTCAGGCAGAATGCAGATCACAACATCAGTTAGAAAGTTCATCTTCAGCCTACTTTTAACTTAAATACTAGAAAATCAAAGAAACAAATATATATTGATTACCAAATTGCATTCTGGTTGGTAAACTTTGAGGGTGTGCTTTAGTTGCGCCCAGTCCAAATATTCACAAATCAATGCAGATAGCAACCTGCCTGCATTTTAACATTTATAAATTGATGAAGATGACCTCCTCAAAAAAAAAAAAAGGAGACACATTTTGAAAAAAAAAAAAAAAAGAGAGCCAATAATTCTAAGTATCAAGAAAGCATGGCAAGGTTATGAATCAAACAAAAAAGACTTGCCATGTAGAACCAAACCATTCACAGAGAAAAAAATCAAAAGATAATAGAGAAGAGTAGTACATGCAAAAACTAGTGAGAAAAACCTGAAGGAGAAGCATGAAGCTGCCTTGCACGATCATTACAGCTTCCCAACAAAGCTGGAGGGAGTCCTTCATTGTTCTCTATGACTCTGTCCTCTTCTTCGATTGCCTCAAACACACTTGCACGGAGCTCAGCCTACAGAAGCAACTCAAATATCAGATTACACCATTTTAACAGACTCAGACTTCAAATTAGGATACAAACTTGGGGAATTCAGATGCATAAGTAAACAACAACATCGAGAATATGTCAAAGACGTCAGATCCACTAAGCAAAGATCTAAAAGCACGAACCCTAACAAACAAAAAAGAAGCAGTTAATGTACTTCAAGCTAATTTCTTCTCTGCACAAAAGAATGTTGTGCTAAAAATTTGAGGCATCCGAACAAAATGTATTGGCAAGAGAAAGACAAAAAGAAAAAAGAAAGAAAAAGTTACCCGGATCTTAGCGAGAACACCTTTCTTCTCAAGGGTTCGAGTGACCAAGGTCTTGAGATCCATCATCTCTCTTGTATAATCGTCCATTGTTTCCCACTGCCAAATTTGAAGGTCAGATCCCTCTTAGCGCAATCGGGATTTGGTCACCGGAGAATTTGAAAATGCCGTTCGGAGAGAAGAGTTGAGCTGCGTCAGCCAGAGTGGCTTCTCGGGGTTCTTTATTTTAAAACTTTAAACGAAGAAGAGAAGACTGAAGAGAGAGTGAGAAGAAGAAGATCACAACATTTTACAAGGGAAAAAGTTCAAATATCCATATTAACAAATTTACAACATCAATTAATACGAAACACAAAAAAAAAATCTCAAACATTTTTTACTTTCTGTTTGGTAACATTTTTATTATCTTATGGTTTATAAATTTGAAAAACCAGTGACTTTTTTTACTCTTAAATTTAGCCAAGAAAGTTATTTCTACTGAAATTTTGAATCCAAACAAAAATTAAAAACATTATTGGATTAAAAATAAATATGTTTGGATCCAAGTGAAAATTGAGAACATTAACTTAAAAAAAATATTGCATATAGCAGAGAATGAGATTAATGACTTTGAAATTTCTACACTATTGACAACAAAGAGAGGAACTCACTAGAGACATAAATTTTTGGACGACCATTGAGAAACACAGATAAAAAGAAGTGCATTCTCAACTGCTAGTTAAACAAGTTGCAACCCACATTGTGCTTTCTTTGTGAACTCTTCTCTTCCCAAAAACAACTCAGAATAAAACTTTTTAACTGATTCATTTTGTTTTTAGGGACAACCAAAGTTCTAACGGAGACAGATGTTCAGCGAAAACAAAGAAGCTAATGAAAATGCAGTTGCAAATAGAGAACATATATATCACTCACGTACACAAACCATTATCTAATCCAGCGGCTGAATTTTTTTGTCCAAACCCTAAATCAGTCTCTCCCTTCTTCTTCATTTGCTCCATCCCTCACATTCCTACAACACAACCAAGCCCCATGGATCAGATTTACCACAGCTTGTTTCTCATTTCAATCTGCTTTTCAGTTCATCATAAGAGCCTTGAAAGCTTACCTCCAAGACGATGTTAAGTTCCGAGTTTTCCTATCGAGCTGAAGATTTTCCAGCGCTGCCGAAGCTCTCAATACCTCTTCATGTGCATCTTGATTACCGTGTCTCCAATTGAATTCGTCTTTTCTGTACCCAGAAGCAGACAACCCGGCTCTTCTATCTAAAAATAAATAAATCTTCTTGAATTTATTTCGTATGAAAAATCATGAATCATATATGTTTCAACTAATACTTCAAAATAATAGGGAAATGATGACTAACCTGATCCTTGAGATGAAGAAACCGGCCTGCCATTATTTAAGATATGTAAATCAACCATTTCAGACTCATAAGCAACATGGAAGAGTAAGAAAAAAAAACTTTGATTTGGCAATGCATGGTGTTGGAGATAAGCGTGTACCTTCGTTGAGGAGGTAAGCTATCAGAAGCAGATGATCTGCGAGGAGGATTTCTGGACTCAAGGCTTGATGATGACTCTGTTTCTGACTCTCTCCTTGAACTACCACCTGTGCCCTGCGTCATGCTCTGAAGAAAAAAATCATTACAAAAACTGTTGATCACTAAACCTGAGGAGCATATAGCAAAAAAAGAAGAAGATGATAATAGCTATACTGTAAGAGGATGGAAACATTAATCCTTGGATGTTAATAGAACTCAAGGCTGGCAATTTGCTACACTTGTTTTTCAAATTTCTAAATAATTCTGATCATGGATATGACACTTTATTTCTTGGAAAAGTGGGAGGTAGCAAGTACAAAGTACCAAGATTTTATGTAAGTTGGTGTTTGCAAAGCTTGAGTCTAACCAACTTGAATTGGTCATCAACACTTATAGAACAGGAACTGAAAAAATTACAACCCAGAAATCACATACTACAGGTGGTTATTGTAATTCCTGAAGTATGGTAGTAAAAGCTTTTAAACCAATAGAAGAGGTTGTAGATAGAAAAATTCAGTTCTCCACTTTGCTGCAGAAATTCACAGGGGTAGCAAAGAAAAACATACCTCAAACTTCAAGAATCCTTCAAGTACATCCAGAAGGAGAGGTCCACTATCTCCATTTCTGTTGAGCTCAAAACCATTGCTGCTACTAAAGTCGCGCAGCTCAGATTTCCACGAATCTTTTGGCTATGCATAGGTTTTCAGGCGGAATGCAGATCACCAGATAAGTGAGAAAAGTTCCATTCATAATATTTAATGAAATATAAATTTAAAATCAAAGAAAAAGAATATTGTTGATTACCACATTGCTTTCTGGTTGATACACTTTGAGAGTATGATTTAGTTGTGCCCAGTCCAAGTATTCACAAATCAACGCAGATAGTAACCTGCCTGCAGTGATCAAAGATTACCTACTTAACTGCACGAAACCTCAATGTTCATAATGTTTAGGCATGAGAGAAAGCAAAGTTCGTTGTTGATACGATATCAACAAGAAAGGGGTCACATTGTGAACAAGCCAATAGTTATTGAGTATTAACAAAGCATGGCAGGCTTGTAAATCAAACAAAGTTGTCCAAGACAAGATGCAAATGATAAAAGAGAAGAGTAATACAGGCAAAAACTAGTGAGAAAAACCTGAAGGAGAAGCATGAAGCTGCCTTGCACGATCGTTACAGCTTCCCAACAAAGCTGGAGGGAGACCTTCATTGTTCTCTATGACTTTATCCTCTTCTTCAATTGCCTCAAACACACTTGCACGGAGCTCAGCCTACAGAAGCAACTAAACTCTTAGCTGAAGTATAGAAAGAAAAAGAAAAAAAAAACAGCAACTTTACAATACAGCTGCCAGTTAAGTTCACATTGACAGTACAAGGCAATTGGGAAATTTACATGAAAAGTATCAAGATTCCAGATGCATAAGCAAATTAACAAAAGTCGAACATTTCAATCTGAAAGCAGGAACCCTAGAAATGTAAGCTATTTCAAACTAATATCTCCTCTGTACTCGTCTCCCACACCAATATCTGCGAAAATTTGAAGCACCCGAGTAATGTATGGGCGCAGAAACTGGAGGAATCGCAGCAAGAGATATAAATTAAAAAAAAAAAGTTACCCGGATCTTAGCGAGAACACCTTTCTTCTCGAGGGTTCGAGTGACCAAGGTCTTGAGATCCATCATCTCTCTTGTATAATCGTCCATTGTTTCCCACCACCAAATCAAAGTAAGAAAATTTTAGGTTTGTGGTAGTACAAACAATTCGATTTCGCGAAATTTGGGGAAATCCGAAAGATGGCCGTCCGGAGAGAATGACGTTGTGAAAAAGAAAAAACGAAAAATACTATTAAAAAAAAAAAAACAAATCTTTGCAGAGGAGCCATTTTTCTCCACACCTATTTCAAATGTTACCCCAAAAGATCAATAGTTTCCACTCTCGTCCCAAATTTTAATTATTTGACATATTGCCCCCAAATAAGCATTGTTTTTTATAAAATTTGGAAGATGCCAATTTAACATCGTTTTGAGATCTAATTCAGACAACACAGCTTTTGTTGGCAAAGGTTATGTTAGAGAGGAGTTAGCCTGCTGTTACTTTTAACTTTAATTTGGATAGATGAGGTCACAAATGTTACCCAAAAATAAGAAATTATCATAGTAGCTCTTGTTTTGTGCTGGTCTAGGCTCTTATCTTGTGGGCATATATGACTGACCAGTGAGGCAGTGACAACCATATGATATAGAACCTTTAGAAGTCGATTGAATCAACCAAGCATTACATGTCTCGCTCACAAGTTGGGCATATATCACACTGTGATAATCTTATATCTAGATGATCAAATCGATTATCTTAGATCTAGAGTGTTTGATCTAAGGGATACTATCAAAATACATTACGTGTATATATTTATCGTGACTACATAAATGTATATCAAATATATAGGTCGATATATAATCCAAAAGATACAATACTACTATTATATCATAATATTAGAGTCTAAATATTTTAGAGTGATTGAAATAAAAATCTATGAGAGCAATATTTTAAAGATGTAGCAATCTTTTTATTTTGAGTTAGTTTTTTTGGATTAATTATACTGTAAACATAGTAAGGTATCAGAACATATAGTTAAATCAAATATACCTATAATTTTATTACTAATATGATTTTGTCATATATAATTAAGTGATATGTCTCCTCGTGATATTTATGAAATATTAAGTTTAAATAATTTATGTGTTTGTATTGTCTATCTACATCTCAAAAAGGTTGTTTAGTATCCAAAAATCTTATATGAAATGGGATTAAAACCATTGAACAATATATATAAAATATGTATTTTTTAATATAAAAGATGTATTAGTCTTTCTTTTTTAATATAACTTTTAAGTTTTAGGATTAGTTATACCAATACGTGATTCTATAAAGAGACATTACGAACGTCTCTGACGTATATATGTTTTAAAAATATAAATAATTTCTTATATAAATCAAGACAAGTGTAAGAGTATATCAATGGAACATAGATATGTAACCAATTCCTTTAAAACTGTCCTGACATGGCGGCATAACTTTAGAGTATAATAATGATGGACGAAATAAAGACGAAAATAAACTTTCAAAGCAACATTAAATCCAGCATAATAAACTGTTAAAATTGGAATGGATCAGAGTATTCTCGTTGTGTACTGCCACACTATAAAGATACTCAACAACGAACATTTGTTTTAATTCTGATCCAGGATTTGTCGATTCTTCATTTAAAAAAAAAAAAAAAAAATTCAGCAATCACTTCTAGTTCAACAATATTTCAACAATCAGATTAACATGTTTAAAGAAAAATCTTTATGGAAATGCGTTCCGTCAAAAATATACAGATGTTTGTGATAGACTACATGTCTTAACGTGTATATATAAAAATGTATCTGCACAGATGATATATAGATGTATTTTCTTTTTTTTGTTGGACAAGAGATGAGAGACGTCTTTTAATCAGAATTATTCAGTTGTTTCTCGATACCAGATTGTGACAAAAATAAAAATAGAAACACAATACGTTTCTTAGAACTAGAAGAATCAGAATCTATCTTGATTCTTGAATAGAAACCATATATATATATACTCACAAGTCACATTCTTCTATAGGCTATAGCAAAAAACGAATCTAAGAACTGAACACTAAAACGGTGCAGAGAGCTATAGTTTATTTAAGACTTTAAAAGAGCACATGTTTATTATATCAAGAGGGGCATTACCGTCGTTTCAACGGAAGCAACTTGGAGGCATGAGAAGCGAGGAGGGGAAGCCACCACGTCACTCGAAACTGTTCCGACATCACATTCATATGTGCGTCAACCATTAAAACCGAAAACGTTAAAACAAAAACAAAAAAAAAACATTTTCTTTTTCTTTTTCTTTTTCTTTTCAAGATTGTGAACAACAACAACAACAAGAAAAAAGAAAAAAAAAAAACAGATCAATCAATCAATCATGAAAGAATATGGTTGGGTTGAAGTTGAATCCACCATTATTAAATCTTATAACGTGCTTCATGCCTTTCCCACTCGTTTCTCTATCGTCCCCTTGTTAATAATAATACGCCTGTTCTGTTCTACCCAACCAGCGTCATACTATTTATTAATCTCAGCAACCTCCTTTGTTTCGTTTTTCTCACATTCAATTTTAGCGTCAGAGAATAATTACAAACACTAGAGCTGATTTTAGATAACGTTTTTGATATACCTACAAACGTAAATTTATCTGCTCCCACGTACGAATTAATCTATATCATAGGGTACCTCTTTGTTCTCAGAATTTGGTTCCAACAACTATACTTAGGTTAAATTTAAGTTTCACTCAGTAGCTGATCTTTTGTGTATTTCTTGTTGCTTCCTTGTTTTTTCTATCTTTTTGCCAAAGCAACCAAAACTCTAGGTTTTCATTATGTAAATCCGAACCCCTTTCATTATATATGATATTTACCCGTTAGCAAAAAAAAAAAAAAAAAAAAAATTTAACTACACAAAACGGATATTGGAATTAAACAAAATACTGTATGTACATATGTGTTGAAAGAAATAATGTGGGGAAAAGACGAATTAATGAGAAAATGCTTAAATTATATGTTAGTGGTTTCAGAACCCTGTGTTCCTATACATCTTAATTCGTTTTTTTTTTTTAATTATTTGAGCCAACAAAGTAAGTATGAGTTTTTTCAGCTATATGTTTCAAAAGTCACAAGCTAGCTTAATATAAAGACTTCAACAAAAAGTTTTTAGTCAAAAAATTTGGGCCAAGTTGTGCAACCAATAAATGAAATTCATGTGTTGATTAAATGTTGAAAGTTTGAAAACAATAAACACAAGTGCACAGTTAAAAAGCACGAAATTAACCCCCTCATCGGGAGTAAAACTCTGTATATATATGACTCTCTCTTGTTTTTGCATATATGAAACGACGTTAATATATTATAACGAGAACATAGCTTATACAACCATAGAAAGAAATGAGAGCAGTACGTCAAGGCTTGAGTGTAATAAACTTTGAAGTGTAGGTTACTTCAAAATAGATTATCATGGATTATTTGTGCACTGCAAGTTATGTAAATAAAGTAAAGTAAGAAAAAGAAAAGGTTACCTTGTGTTTACCCATATTGCTAGGAACGACCACAAGGAACAGGGAGAGATATTTTATTGTAGTCTTACCAAATAAGGAAAGGGCAAGATTCCTTAAAAAAATCTTTTTATAAAAACATTGCTTAGAATAAATAAAAACTGACGGCTGGGATTAGAGAACCAACTTATCATGAAATCTATCTATCATCAATCATATAAATAAATAAATAAATAAAAAAGAGAAAAAGAATTATTAGAACGAAAAGATTTTTGGAGGGTGAGTGGTTGAATTATGTGACAATTGACGTAACCTTCCACTGTCCCTCTGTCTCCATTTAAGGTTTTTTCATCTCTCTCTTTCTTCTTTCTTTCTTCTTCTTCTTCTCAATTAGAGAGAGTGAGTAGTTGGCAAATAATATTATTGGACCCATATATCCTTTGTGTTTGGGACCTAAATTAACGTGTAAACATCACACCCTCCTCTTTCTCTCTTTTATTCTATCTTTTTTTTTATTCACTCATTGACCATAACACATTTTATCAATTCTTTTTATTTTATTTTGTACTTACTACATATATATAGTTTAGTTTATGTTGTGGTCTATATTATCTTCCTGTTCCTCCAATTATTTTGGTATCGAAGATCCATTCGCACTCTTGAGGAAACGAAACTGTAAGGATAGTTTGAATATATCTCTAATGATTTGTCTACAGTTTCTTTCAAAAATATAGTCCTTAATAAAATGAGTTAGTCAAAAAATATATATGTACTTTGTTTTAATATGTTTCTTTTCTTTTAAATACCACAATCCACAACTAGGTTTAGAAAATTACTTCCAAAAAAAAACATTTATATAGTGGTAAAACTCTTATTATACATATCAAAGATATTTTTTTTTTCATAAATGGTTTTTTGTGAAATATAAAAGAGAAGATTAAAAAAATAATTATACTAAGAAGAATAGAATGTGTCTAAAAATATGATATCTTGAAATAAGCTTTTGATATGACATGGCAGAGGAGATTATACACGAAAAAGAAGATCCACAAAGAGTTGGAGAAGAAATAGGATGAAAATGCAATTAGTTTCTCCATCTTATAGATCAACCATAACCTAAAAATCATCAATTCTCACGAAATTTTAGTTGTCGTAAATTTATTACTATCGGAGATGAGAAAATACTTTCATTTTCTTTAAAAAAAAACTTAAAAAAAACTGTCGGTCTCTCTAAAGTTATCCGTATATCGAAATCTTTAATTTAAATGGAAAAGAGTTGTTCTTGGCCAAAAAAAAAAAAAGGATTTGTCGTGATTCGTAAAATGACGACGACACAGAGAAACAAAATGACATGTGATTTCACATTTCACACGTGGGAAGATATAATTAGTATCCTAAAATCCCTGACCGTTAGATGTGTTTTTCATATCTTGGCACGTTTGGAATCACACGAGAGACCTATCTATCAATAATTGTTTTCGCTATATGCCAAAATGATATTTATTATAAAGATTTGTTTTTTTCTTTTTCTTTTACTAGCAAGAAACTAATTAATGTTTGATGACCCGATTGTGTGTTTCATATATTTTCGTAATTTATAAACAGATATTACAATTCTTATATACTAGCAATTCGTTAGCACCAACATGTTAGAAAATAAAATTACAAAAATTTCAGATGTAGTAACATAGAAAATGATTAGTCATGTTATTGTTATGTTACCTATCTATTTTTCCGTCTCATCGGCTAGTTTAAGGTTTCTCGAACATCATAGTTTACGGTTTGGTTTTTTCTTTTCTTAATTATTATGTGGGAAAGCAAAGTAATAATAGACGAATAAGGAAAGTTTCCTAATCAATAATTAATTTTCTTTATTTGGTGATACTAATATATATGTTTTAAGCGTGCACATGTACACACACAAATACAAACACTAATTAATTACAAAAAAAAAAAAAGAGGAGGAATAACGAACCGCATAATTCATCATTATTCCTCAAAATGTTTTCGTCAAAACTATGTTACCAACATATGTATGTATGATGTATCCAACAAATGTAATACTTGTGGTAACTATCCAATTATGTTACTAATTAACGACAAATTGAACGATTGTATAAAAGTTCGGTTAATATTGAAAATTTCAGATATTGACTTTTTGTTTATTTCTTTATAATTGACGGAGCTATCTTCTTAATAACGTACACTTGCCAATTAATAAGAAAACTATAATCCTATTTATAGAATAATTCTACATTCGAGCATGCATTAACAAATGTCCTCGGCCAATAAACTATAAATTAGAAATGGTTGGCCCTTGGATTTATATAGAAAAGCATATAAACTACTCTTCAACCAACCAACCACAATAAAATACGTTCTTTAAGGTTTGACTTTTTGTTTAATCGATACTATTAAATTAAAATGTTTTCTTAAACTCTTTATGATGTTATCAATTTTTCTTAAACTTGTTGATGACTCCATCAATATAGTACTATTATAGTTGGTAGTAAAATTAGATAAACCAACGTCACCACAAGGTCCTTAATTAACCTAGTAGAAGGATAGAAGATGATAGTACTCTGTATATATACGTAATTAAATTAGGCATCTTCATGTCGACTCTTTAAACTCTCTCACCCTACTTGATGTGCGTTTTTAAAAAGATTAGGTCGAGTTCATTAAAAATAATTTTATTACATTCTGTTGAGTTTTTATTCAACAGAATTTTTTGGTTTTTTTTGTTGTTTAAATGTTTTCACATCGTACTAACGCGTTGAGTTAAAACGAGACATTAAAAAGTGTGTTAAATAAAACTCATCGTACAAGCCCTCTCTCTATCTCCCTTATTTAATCAACCAAAAAGGAAACTTATAATATGTAGTACAAAATCATATTATTTATTCGATACATCGTCAAGGCAAGTACATTTGTAACCAAAAAAACCAGTTAGACAAGTTTTATTTTTAATTAAAGTTGAAAAGGCAAATAAAGGGCAAGTGTATCCAATGCAACCTTCACAGTGAACACGTCCCACGTTCTTTTTTTCTTCCCTCTTTTAGAACTCTCTCTCTCTCTCTCTCTCATTTTGACACTTATCCTATCTCTCTCTCCTCTCGCCGGAGAAAAAAGAGCGACGGCGCCGTTTGCTGTAAGCCAAGAGTACTCGACCATGTTGGATCTTAACCTCAAAATCTTTTCTTCATGCGACGAAGATCAAGATCGGAAAGTACCATTAATGATCTCAACCAAGGGTGAAGAAGAATCTAACTCCTCCTTATCCTCCTCCACGGCTTCTGCAGCCGGAGATGCTTTCATCACTTTTGGAATCCTCAAACGTGACGAGGACGTCGCTCCTCCTCCTCCTCCTCCTCCTCCTACTACTCATAAAGAAACAGGAGATCTCTTTCCGGTGGCTGATGCTCGTCGGAATATTGATATCTCGGTCGAGGACAGTCACTGGTTGAATCTGTCTTCTTTACAGAGGAATACACACAAAATTGTGAAGAAGAGTAGAAGAGGACCAAGGTCTCGTAGCTCCCAGTATCGTGGCGTCACTTTTTACCGTCGTACCGGTCGTTGGGAATCTCATATTTGGTAAAACCAATGTAACAAAATCAAATTAGTATTTTTAATTATTTGCTATATTATTTATTCTCTAACTAATTTGGTTTTGGGATTTTGATTAAAAAAATTAGGGATTGTGGAAAGCAAGTTTATTTGGGTAAGTTTATCAGTTTTTTTTTGTTTTTCCTTTAATTATTAGGTCGTGACTATACTTTTGATAACGTGTGTGTTTGTCTATTTATAGTCATGGATACGTAATGAAAACTATGATATATATCGTTGCGATAAATTTGATTTGTAGATTTTGTCTGACAACTTCTGTTAACAAGTACCGCTAAAAAAGTTTATTTTATTTTATTTTTTTCTTTTCCCTTTTTTTTTTTTGTCAACTATCTATATTTTTTCTCTGTAAAAGACAAAACATCATAGAGTACTATACTATATACAGCTCATTACATATGTTTTCGTTTGTTACTTGTGTCTTTCACGTTTAATTTGAACACAACTTGCTCATTTTATAATCTAATTTTTTATCCTCTTCACTTGATTGTTCATTTGTAACAGGCGGGTTTGATACTGCATACGCAGCAGCAAGGTATAAACAAAATTCGATATAAACAATAGACTTAAGTAACATATAATATTTTTTGTTTAATTTTGTCAACATATACACATTAGAGTTTGTTGATTACAATAAAGACATATAATTTGACTTATTAATAAGTGAATATACATATATCAGGGCGTACGACCGAGCTGCTATAAAATTCCGTGGTCTCGATGCAGACATCAACTTCGTCGTGGATGATTATAGGCATGACATCGATAAGGTTAAACCATAGATAAATTATTACGTTATGAAGATTGGTTGATTTCTATACGTTTATTTTTGTCGAATTAATTCTTATATATATATATATATGGATCCAATTTAACCTAATAAAGTTAATACGTATAGATGAAGAATTTAAATAAGGTGGAGTTCGTGCAAACACTTAGGCGAGAGAGTGCGAGTTTCGGAAGAGGAAGTTCCAAATACAAAGGCTTGGCTCTTCAGAAATGCACCCAATTCAAAACTCATCATGATCAGATTCATCTCTTTCAAAACAGGTATACCCATTTTATATAATCTCTCTTTAATCAAGAGTTTCTTTATATTTCGTTACACACGTATGTAGTCTGAGTACATATGGAATATGATATATATAGGGTTGAAATATAATTAATTAAACACCATTCTATACCAAAGAGAAAAAAGAAAATGAATTATGAGTTCGTATATAGTGTTGTGAGTAACTTTGGAATATTCTTAAACGTGTGTGTAAACAACAAATTCACAGGGGATGGGACGCAGCAGCATTAAAATACAATGAGTTGGGAAAGGGAGAAGGAGGCATGAAGTTTGGTGCCCATATTAAAGGTAATTCATACTCCTAGCTAGCTAACATATTCATCAAAATTCTAGCATTCTCTCGCTCTCTTAAGCTACTTGTCATCCATCAATAAACGTTGTCTTTCTTTTATATATATATATATATATATATATATATAATGTTCACAATGATCTTGAACTAAGTCTTGGAATTTCGTCAGCATCGGAAACTATGAAGTTGACAACGGGAGATTACTATAAGGGCATCAATTGGTCCACGATGGGTTTGTTCGGTAAGCAATCATCCATATATCTACCCATGACGACGACGACGACGACCATGAAGCCTTTGAAGACAGTTGCAGCATCATCAGGATTCCCTTTTATCAGCATGACCACTTCCTCTTCCTCCGTCTCCACTTGTTTTGATCCTTAGCTAGGATCGATCTACTCTATACACTCTTTTTAACTTATATATTATATTTTTCTATCTGATTATTGTATATCATCCACAATAAGTTTGATTCTTTCCTTAATGAGTGAGAAATATTTTGCAACTGTTTGTTCTAACTTCAACTCGAATTATATACCAAACTTGGTTAATTATCATCAAGAAGAATATGCACATAGACAAAAGATGATAATATATATATATATATATATAGCGATGCGACAAGATGAACCAAGTTCATTAACATATAGATATAGTATATCGTGACTAAATCGTATTCCTCTGTTTCATTATAAGTGATGTTTTTAATTTCCTATGCAAATATTTAATGTATTTAATATTTTTTGCCCAATTATATTTTACATCATATTTTTTTATTGGTTAAATTCATATTAGTTAATGATGTTTTTATGGAAAATTGGTAAGTTATATGTTTTATTATTTAGTATGACAAAACCTTAATCAGAGGGAGTATTATATAAAACGCTTTTAGTTCGTAATACACGTAGAAGAGCTTTTAATATTGCTATATTAGTGTAAATCTGCCAAGGTTTGCTCGGAAATAGATATCTACCGTTTAATACTTTGCAAAGAAACTTCATGTTTGAACCTTATTTGGCGTACATGGAAAGCAGGGTGTTAAAGTTCCAGAACCACCACAAGGTCAATCGTATAGGCAACTAAAACCAAGCGCTATAAACTGCTTAAACCCAAAACCATCTTTTATGAGCAAAAGCTGATCTCAGAAGCTGGCAAAAGAGAGACATATAAAAAGACATATTGTACGGTTTTAATAACTAGAACCTCGCAGGCTAAGCGAGTTAGCATCGTCTCTATATTATATCACTCATCTCTTCCTATATACCTGTGTGTCAGTTGCAGGTCCTTCCTGGGTTTTGAATCTGGTAGAAAGGCTTCGCGTTTTCCTGTTCCAGTTCAAATCGAGCAGACAATATGTTAGGAGAATCATATGACGAGTTTGATAAGGATTCAGTGCATTGTTTCCATCACTCGCCAACATTAGCTGCTTCAGAAGACATTGAGAAACTGCAACAGAAATAAGAACACTGTGTCAATTCTTCTGGTTTAAATACGTCATGTTTTATAAATTTGACAGAAACAGAAGGCTCTTCTTTGTATCTTTACAGAAAGTGTATAAAGTCTCCATCTTTCATGAATAACATCCATACTAAAACCGTGCAAATTGAAAAGTGTCACACCTTAAGCAATCAAATTATTGGGTCTCGCGGAAAGCCAAGGCTAACTCATCAGTCAATAATGTGCCCCAGTTTCGCCAGACCACAAACTTGCTGCACGCTTAGGTTGAAATTTTCCGACTTTCCCACTAACTAGAATATCAAATGTAGCACCATCAGGTAGAATACCCTTGTCAAGCATCTCATCGTGAAGTCTAAAAGCCTCATCGAGATTTCCTTCTCTATAATGTCCTGCAATCACCGCGTTGTAGATAAGAACATTTGGAGTCACATTATTCTTCTTCATCTCCTCAAACATCTTAACCACTTTCACAAACTGACCCTTCTTGCTGAGACCGTTCACAATTACTGTGTACATGATTTCATCAGGAACAAGACCCACCGCCAGCATTTCTGTGTACAAATCAGAGGCAAGGATCAAATTTCCTTCTTTCAACAGTCCATCAATCAGTGTTGTATATGTACCCAGATCACATCTTAGACCATCTTTCAACATTTTCTTGTACAAATCAAGCGCCGCTACCATGTTTCCCAGATTACGAAATCCAGAAATCAAGCTGTTGTAAACAGGTTGGCTTGGATTCAGTCCTTCTTCCAGGAGTTCAGAGAACAGCGCAGATGCACTTTCCATGTTACTCTTTTTGCAGAACCCATCGATAAGAGCACCATAAGCTGGAATATCGAGTTTAAGACCTTTGTTCTTCATTTCGTCTCTCATTTCCAATGCTTGATCCATTCTATTATTTTTGCATAACCCATCCATCAAGCTGGTATAAGTTATGACGTTTGGAGATATACCATTGCCACACATCTCTCTGTAAGCTGCAACTGCAGAATCCATTTCACCCTCTTTGATTAATCCATCTATAATGCTATTGTAACTCATGCAACTAACACAAAACCGTTTTTCTTCAATCATATTTGCCATCAATTCTCTTGCTTTGGATGTCTGACCTACTTTGCATAAACCATTGATAATTGTTTGGGATACGACCCCGTTGACTTCAATACCAGAAGAAATCATTTGATTCACGACTTCCAAAGCGTTTTGTTCATCATGATTCTTGAAACATCCATCAATCAGAATAGAATACGTGTAGTTATTCGGCTTTAGACCCTTTTCCAGCATATTAGCAAAGACAGTACGAGCCAATTCCATGTTTTTCTTTCTGCAATAGGCAAGCATCACGTTATTGTAAGAAACAACATTCGGTCCAAGACCTCTACTTTCCATCTTCACCAATAACTCTGTGGCTTTGTCTATCTTACCTTGCTTGCAAAACCAAGATAATATACTGTTACATATGAACACATTTGCAAGACCAGTTTCAAAAGACTCGTCAAAGAGTTTCAGTGCCTCTTCCTCTTTCTGACCTCTCAAACACCCTTGGATTATCGTGTGGACATGAAAGACAGAAGGAGTAAGACCTAAACCTTCCATTTTCTTGTAAAACTCAAACGCCTTTGCTATTTCCCCGTTCTTACTAAGCCATTCTATCAGAACCGAAAATGTAACGCTGTTTGGAGAGGGGCCTTCTTTTTCCATCTTATGAAACAATTCCAAAGCACTACCGAAGTCGTTGTTCTTGCAGTATCCCGTGATCAGACTCGTAGCAGCAACTACGTTCATCGGTATCCCACCACTCACCATCTCATCCTTAAATCTAACTGCCTCCTCCATGTTACCTTGCTTCACGGAAGCCAAAATCACAGAAGTATACGTTTGCTGCGACGGGACACACAACGTTTTCTCCTTCATCTCTCTCAATAAACTCTCAGCCATAGCCAAATTGAGCGTCTTGCAACAAGCCTGAACAGCAATACTATACAGTACACCATTCGGTTCTGCCCCTCTCTCGATAGCTCTAGTAAAAGCCTCCAAAGCCTCCTCAGGATTCTCTTCTCTCAAACTAGCTCGCATTAACAATTGCGTTGTGCCATTATCACCATCAACACCAAGGGAAATCATTCTACTGTAGAGTTCCTTAGCTTCAGTCATCGAATTCCTTTGAACTAAAGCACTCAAGGTCCTATTCACATATGGAACAAATGGAATCACACCTAGTTCTAACATCTGATTGATGATATCCACCGCATAATCCGTTTGCCTCTTCTGGGAATAAGCATTCAACAAGTAATTAAAAGCTCGTGAATTGACTTCAAACCCAAATAATTTCGCAGAATCCACCAAATTACTGACCAAAACACTTGGCATTGGAGTTGGATTGCTCGTAGAAACGTACCGCATGAGTAAATCCCTTGCGCGTCCGTAGGTCTCAGGAGAACCAACCAGAACATGAACGAGTACCCAGAAGACGTCTCCATCTTCAAAACTTCCACGCCATGGTCTAGCCCAATTGTAGAACCGAAGAGCAGATTCTGGGTTGTTCCTGCGATTGAGAAGAACGTCGATCACAGATTCATCGTCCTTCTGTTCAGGGCCTTCAGGCTTAGCAGCCAAAAGACTCACTTCGGAGTTAACTGGACTTTCTTCAGAAATGGATCCGTAAACTAGTCTCTGCTCTTGACTTGGATTCTCAGATTCTTTGGGAAACTGAGACAGTGAACAAAAGGGTTTATTATTTCTCAAGCAACGAAGACGAAGCCGTGAAGGGACTTTTCTAAAAACCAGCAAAGATCTCATCTTTTTGGGTTCTCTAAACTATCTTCAGCAGAGAAAAGATGATGGGAGAATGTAAAACAAAACAGAGAAGACTTGTGAATCCCGGAGCTTAAAAAAAAGAAGGCTTAAACCCTAATTTCGGCCACTAAACGAAGTCGTTTGAGGCTATTCCTTTTAAAACCCTCGTCTTTTCCCGTTTTATCTAATTTTCCCAAAGCACAAAGAAGAGAGAAGCAAAAATGTCGAATTGCAGATTTCTCTACCACAACGATGTCATTTTGGAGGCTCCCCCCGTCACCACCTTCCTTGAATCGCAAACGGGTACGCAATCAAAACTACCTAGAGTGTGAAAGTTTGAATTTTGTTTGTTTATTCAGTGTTGTGAAATCTACAGGTGCTTATACAACGACGAGAACGATAAACAATGGCACTAGTTTCTTGTTCTGGGAGAGACATATGAAGAGACTTTCTAGCTCGATTCGTATCCTTTTGAATTCGAAGCCAGATCTTTTGTTCAGTTCTGGGTCATCACCGCGGTTTTGGATGAATCAACCTGTTCCCTATTCGAATATTTACGATCTCGTCAATGGTTCGATGAGCGAGGCCCTGAAGTCTGTTGTGGTCAAGGAAAGTAAAAGAAGTTATGAAGAAGAATTAGCGGTAACTGTTCTTGTCACTGGTAATGTGGAGAAATTGAATAGCTTAGATGATGGGAACAATTGTGATGAGGAGAGAAAGGTTCTGGATTTTCTCGATGTTTGGTTGCATATTGGTTACTCGCCTTTCCCGTTAAGCGTTGGAGAAAACGCCGCGAGTTTGGCTTTGGTTGGTCGTGGTCGAAATGTTGCTGCTGCTAAGTACTCAGACTGGGTTAGGTATTGTGCTTGTGCTCATTTTAACCGATTCTTGAGAATCCTGATAAGTGATAGCTCAATTTTCATGGATTTAGCTTGTGGATTACTCGAATTTTGGTTGTTTCTTTCTTAATTTCGGTATGGATTGTGATTTAGGCAGACTGAGGAAGCCTCTGGAGAAGTTTAGACCTCTTTCGACTACTGAACTTCTTTTGTCAAACGATGGTGATCATTTGCTTGAGGGCTGCATCACCAATTTCTTTGTAGTTTTCCGCAGGGTACTAACAAATTTTGTTTTTTCCCTTAAATATTTTTGTTCAAGCACAAGTCACCAATGTGATTATGATGTTTATTGTCTCTGTTTTAAGTGAGTATCACAATTATGACGACAAGAACTACATTCTATTGTGCATTTTAGAAGTTTGATTTTTTTGTTTGCCACTGCATGATTTACCGTTGGATCTCATTTTAGGTGAAGTCATCTGAAAATCTCTATGGCGGGAGTTTGAACGAGTTTGAGGTGCAGACCGCGCCTATAACTGATGGTGTGCTTCCAGGAGTTATAAGAGACATTGTCATCGAGTAAGAAATTTTATAAAGGCCAGAATATGTCAAAACCACAAATAATGTTTGATTATAGTAGTCTCTGTTTATGGCCTGGCCTGACCAACCATGATTTTGCTTATCTTGACAGAGTGTGTTTAAGCAAGGGGATCCCATGCCGTGAGAGAGCACCCTCGTGGTCTGACCATGAGCTTTGGGAAGAAGCCTTCATTACAAGTAGATATTTTTGACATCCATAATGATATCCAAAAATCTGTTTTCTATCTTTCGGCCGAACACTTTAAATATGTTGTGTGGTGTTTGTTTATTTTAACATCCCAAGAACTCTTTGGATTCAGGTAGTCTAAGGATTTTGCAGCATGTAGGAACGATAAAAGTACCAGTTGGTTCAATGGAGGCATTGGCATGTAAGAAACCTGAGGAGATTCAGTGGAAGGAGAAAAGATTTAAGGAAGGACCTGGGATGATCACTGAATTAATCCAGGTAAAGCTTGTTTCGTTAATTACCCTTTTAGTTAAAATCATAGGTATAGTAGTACTGTTTTGTTCAAGCTATCTTTTGAGTTAATCAAAGATAGAAGAAGAAATACGATAATAATTTGTTATTGTTGTTGTTGTCATGTTGGAACAGAAAGCGATAATGGAGAGATGTGTAGAAGAAGGATTCCCGTTGAAGGCCTTTTAGTTGCTCTTGATGATCTTGCCACATAATCATCATCACTTGTATGATTTAAATTTATCGATTAAACGTTCACAATGCCGTCGACCCTTTTAAATATATGTAGTTGATATAAGTTTATTGTCATACTTATGGTTGTGCTTATGCTTCAATAGTAAACACATATTGAGGATAATTAAAAAAAAAAAAAAAAACCAAGAAGAGACCCCTAATTAAGGGGTACAATATGACCCCTAATTATAAGCAATATAAAGCGTTGATGAAAAAGACTCAGATGGCGTGTTTTGTTTTGGCATGGAAACAAAACAAGTATCCTCTTATATATAAGATGACAAGAAGATATACAACTTCATTTATATATAAATATATATGGATGTTTTTTTTATTTGTTTTAGTTATTGGTGAATGAGTAGGTGTATAATTTTATATATAAGAAAAAACAATGCATGGGTAAAAATAGTAAGAATAATAAAGGGAAGTGGAATCCGATCCAATTAGCATCTAGTTGTATGGCAGTTGCAAAATTTGACATTGTTCTTGACAATACAAACACCCCAGGGACGGTATTGTTCTAGGCAAGCATCGTTGCATAATGCTTTGGCGTTTGGTTTATTACAGATCCCAGGAGCCGCAAGTTTGCTTGGGGATCCTTCACACCTACATTCCGGACATCGGCGTGCGCTGCGACTCTCATCTGCACATTCATTTAAGAAAACAACATACCATATGTAAATTATAAATGACTAAAGTCGTCCAACCGTATGTAACATACCATACATGTCTTTCTTTTTTTCTTTTCCTTTCCTTGTTGTGATATAAGATTTTTTTATAAAATGAATTATGATCGTGTACATGAGATTTACCTATCAAAATCAACAAGCATATCATCCAAAAGAAAATTTTACATAAAGAAAATTAACACTTGATGGATCGATATGGGATGTGATTAACAACAGTAAATGTAGTTACCAATTGACCCATTCTTCCTTGCTAACTATTGGGTAGTAGTAGTACGATGACTTGTTGACACATCTGACGATGAACGTGATCAGTGTATTATAAAAAAAAAAAAAGTAAATCAAGACCATGTGTTGGTGTTATTATGCAATACCAGAAATATAAATAAACTTAGCACACTAGTAACATTAAAAATACACACTCTTGGTTTGCGACTTTGCAACCACGACTCCTCCGCCCTTGTTTTGAATAAATAATAAGGGAATCGGGCCAAGGACAGAATTTTAAGGAGCGATGACTGACACTAGCAAGCACGTCTCTCACTCTCGCCGCTAGATCTAACTCAAAGTCAACGATGACTCACGATTGTCACGTGTCACTCTCTCATTCGATATATCCACGTGACTTCTTATTATGTTCCTTCTTCTTCTTGACCTTTTTTTTTTTTCTTCCTCAAGGAAATTATAAAACCCCAAAAATCCCAAAATCTTAATCGCTACTTCCTACTTCGCAACAACAATGGCGTCGTCGTCATCATCTACAATTATCTCTCTCCTTCTCTTAGTCTCTTTCCTTCTTCTTCTCGTTAACTCGCTTGCGTCCAGTGTCTCGGATCTCGATGAAGAATTGGCTTTCCTCGCCGCGGAGGAATCCAAGGAGCAACATAGCCACGAGGAGCACGATCAGTACCACGACTTCGAGAATTACGATGATCTCGAGCAAGGAGGCGGCGACTTTCATCACGGAGGCGAGCACGGCTACGAGGAGGAGCCATTACCAACTTTCGACGAGAAAGACGTCGCGGTTTTGACCAAGCACAATTTCACGGAGTTCGTCCGCAACAATAGCTTCGCCATGGTCGAGTTTTACGCTCCCTGGTGTGGCGCTTGTCAGGCTTTGACTCCCGAGTACGCCGCGGCGGCGACGGAGTTGAAGGGCGTTGCGGCGCTCGCCAAGATCGACGCGACGGAGGAAGGGGATTTGGCTCAGAAGTACGAGATTCAGGGCTTCCCCACCGTCTTCTTGTTTGTCGACGGAGAAATGCGCAAGACCTACGAAGGCGAAAGAACCAAGTAAGTGTAGTTTGTTTCTTTCTCTGCTGCTCACTCAATGCTTGTTTGAATATAGATAGAGTTAGCCTGTGTTAGGATGAGATGTTTTCCGAAAATTTGAGCTGGTAATCAGGTTTAGTTTTGGCATTGATGATCTAATATCAGATGCTGGAACAGTCCACTGGAAATGTGCAATAGTTACCATAGATTTTGAGATATTGTTTGATTTAGTAGATATATTACTTGATGTTAATGACTCTGAAGAAACTCAGTTATGAATCTTTGAAGTAATTTTGACAAATATTGATGTAGATGAATCTGGGAAGAAGGTTAATTATGATTTAGTGCAATAGAGGCTCATGTCATCTTTCATTTATTCTCATCGGTCGATTTCAATACGATTTATTGGTTGATGCATTTCCACCATTATTGGTGTCCTGGTAATAGGAAAAAACTAAATTTTGCAGGGATGGAATTGTGACTTGGCTGAAGAAGAAGGCCAGTCCTAGCATCCACAACATCACTACAAAAGAGGAGGCTGAGCGTGTTTTGTCCGCTGAACCTAAAGTTGTTCTTGCTTTTCTAAACTCCTTAGTGGTATGTATCCTTTAAATCCAAGGTGTTTGGTGCTTTTCCTTCTTGGATTTATCTATTCTTTCTAACTTCTGTGAGTTGTTAAACATATGCTTTACCGAGTTGTTTACCATGGGACTTCTCTACCTAAAAAAACCCGAAAGGAAAAGAAACAGAACTGTTAGCTTTAAGCATATCATTGCCTATGGTGTTTAGTATGTCAAAGATACAAGTGGCTTCCCTTGCAGTATATGTACAATTGCTGTTAGGTCCTGTATATATTATCTTCCTGTCTAGTGCGTTTTACATTGTGTGACAGAGAGTTTTAAGATGCTGGATTGACAAGTGTGAAATATTTTATTACTAATAATATCCTACTCTGCCATATTTTTCACCATTTTCTATTGCTCAGGGGTCAGAGAGTGAAGAGCTTGCGGCTGCATCCAGACTGGAAGATGATCTCAGTTTTTACCAAACTGCAAGCCCCGATATTGCAAAGCTATTTGAAATAGAAACTGAAATCAAGCGTCCTGCCTTAGTCTTACTGAAAAAGGAGGAAGAGAAATTTGCCCGTTTTGGTAAGACTCCTCAATACATGACTGCTTTTTTGTGCTTTCTAGATTCCTCTATGTCTCTCTCATCAACTTCTTTTTGGCAGATGGAAATTTCACTAAAACGGCTATAGCAGAGTTTGTGTCAGCCAACAAATCCCCGTTGGTGATCAATTTCACTAGGGAAGGTGCATCACTGATTTTCGAGAACTCAGTGAAGAACCAAGTAAAGACCATTTGTCTCTTTAAAGTATTACGTTATTTATTGCTGTTAACTAATGAGATGGCATTTTTAAATCCCTTGTCAGCTCATTCTTTTTGCCAAGGCAAATGAATCTGATAAGCACCTTCCCACTCTGAGGGAGGTGGCAAAGTCGTTCAAGGGAAAGGTAATTTTTTATCTTTGAAATTTTCTGTTGTCATTTTTGCTCTCTTTCTGGAACAATCATTGACAAAAAAAATCACCTCTTGCAAATATAAGTTGCGATTGATATATACCAAAAGGAGAGGTGGATGATAATTTTAGTTATTGAGTCAAAGGGCAATCCTCTCTTTTGTCTGCAGTTTGTTTTTGTTTATGTGCAAATGGATAATGAGGATTATGGAGAAGCAGTTTCTGGATTCTTTGGTGTTACCGGCACTGCCCCTAAGGTAAAGTAGTTGGTGTGAAATATCTGTGTTTGTGTTGTTTGTGTTATGCAAATGACACAACAAACCTAATTTTGCATAACGGGGCACTGGAATTGCAAGATTTAAGTATCCATATTTTCCTTGCGTAATGCAGGTTCTTGTATACACTGGAAACGAAGATATGAGGAAGTTTATTCTGGACGGTGAATTGACCGTAAAGAACATTAAGGTATGCCCAACATTCTATTTTGTGTGAAATTTTAATGGTTTCAGGACGTGTTGTTCGTTATCTTGAAGCAATGAATTTGTTTTAAAATAGACACTTGCGGAAGATTTCCTAGCAGACAAACTGAAGCCTTTCTACAAGTCAGATCCACTACCTGAAAATGTAAGGCGTCTGACATATTTTAACACACATCTAACATCCTCACACAATACTGATTCACTAGCTTCTAAATGAAACACAACAATACTAATTCACTAGCTTCTAAATGAAACCGCAGAATGATGGTGATGTTAAGATCATTGTGGGCAATAATTTTGATGAGATTGTTCTTGATGAGTCAAAGGATGTTCTTCTCGAGGTAATTATCTATTAAATTGTAATTGAATCGTTAGAGCTTTGCTTTATACACATTTTAGTTATATATATCTAAAAAGCATGAGTTTTTGTCATAGATATATGCTCCTTGGTGTGGCTACTGCCAATCATTTGAGCCGATCTACAATAAGCTTGGAAAGTATTTAAAAGGCATTGACTCGTTAGTTGTAGCAAAGATGGATGGTACCAGCAATGAACATCCTAGAGCAAAGGTAACTAAGAGCCAAATTAAGAAGACATATTATGAAAAAGCTATTGGTTGATTCAAGATACAGAGATCTGATTTTGTCTGCTGAATCTTTTTTTGTTCAGGCTGATGGGTTCCCAACAATCCTGTTCTTCCCTGGTGGAAACAAGAGCTTCGATCCGGTAAGCAAAGCTTGTTCACTATATCAAACAGTGTTTCCAAAACCTGCAAATTTTTTTTTTCTTATGTTACTTTTGAGTACTGAAGTTGTTAAAATTGTTGCTCATAAAAAAAAAAAAAAAAAACAGATCACTGTGGATGTAGACCGAACAGTAGTGGAACTGTACAAATTCCTGAAGAAGCATGCATCAATCCCATTTAAACTTGAGAAACCAGCGACGCCTGATGCCGTGATCTCGACCAAGAAAGCTGATGAGAAGATTGAAGGTGATAGTGGCAAGGATGAGTTGTGATGATCCTTGCTAGGAACAAGAGAGTGTGTAACAACAACAACAACAACAACAGGCTATATATAGATGATGACTCTTCTTTCCCATACATGATAGAAAATGTATTGTCCTTGGTTTTTTAAAAAAATTTTGTTGTTGACTTTTGTTGTATGCAATGAAATAAAAAATATATATAAAATTTGGGGGTTTAAGGATGCATTTTGATTAACACATTGATTGATTGATTGATTACGACGAGGAGGCCACATGATTTCTTGTTCTTTTCTCACATCAAATGATAAGTTTGGGCTTCATAATAACAACTTTTGGCCACCCCCATACGCACTTTCAAAGTTGAAAATAGAATGAACTTGTTTTTAAAAATTAAAAAATCCAATCAAGATGATAAGAAATATACATACAAATCAAGAAGACGTAAGCGTCACATTTGTTTTATTCAGAAAATACTTTTTAACGTATTACTAGGGATAGACCCGCACGTACGTGCGGGGTTGGTTGCAAAAACTTAATTTATCATCAAGTTTCCAATATTTGTATCGACATGATAAGAGATCCGGATCGAGTGTGAACCGAATGAGTGATAAGTTGGAAATCAATTAAATTTGTTAACTATCATGTCACATAAACCAATGAAACACATTAAAACTTTTGAATAAAATAACATAAATATAGATATCAGGAGAGTGAAACCCGTTCACTATACATGTCTTACAACAAAGTGAAATATTTTGGTCCACCCACATGAATAAATAGTATGTCTTCGGCTTGCCCGTTACCCATAATTCTCTTTTGTATATTATTAGAATTTGTTAAGATAATAATTTTTATTTTCTAAATAACCCGTTCCCTTTCCGTATCTGTTATTTCTTGTCCCGATATTTGAAATATTTAAGTAAATTGAAACTTACTTTTGCTATTAAAATTTTGCTATTAAAATTTCATATTCATGTATCATACCCGTCATTTGATATTTGAAAGTTAAAACTGAATTTTAGTTTCCAAATTTTTTTATATCGGCTTGTTTTAGATGAGAAATAGTTTAGATAATTTTTTTTTAAAATTACCCATGCCCTTTTTGTTCCCATTCTTTCTCTCTAAGATAAGATCATATATTTTTTTAATTAAATTACCTGTTCTCTTTCCGTATCCGTTATTTCTATCCCGATATTTGAAATAATTAAGTAATTTAAAACTTACTTTTTGCTATTTAAATTTCATATATTTGTATCATACGCGTCATTTGATATTTGAAATTTGAATTGGAATTTAAGTTTCCAAAATTTTTATATCGTCCTTTTTCTTATGAGAAATAATTTAGATAATTTTTTTTTAGAATTACCAGTTCCCATTTTCTACCTGTATTTTCCCTCTAAGATATGATTATATATTTTTTATATAAATGAGATCATTTACTTTTTTTTTTTAAAACAACATTATATAGCTTTTAATTAATTAATTAAGTTACCCATTCTCTTTCTGTATCTGTTATTTCTTGTCATGATATTTGAAATATTTAAGTAATTTGAAAAACTTAATTTTGCTAGTTAAGTTTCATATTCATGTATCATACACGTAATTTGATATTGAATTTAAGTTTTCAAATTTTTTATATCGTCTTGTTTTTAATAAGAAAAAGTTATACATTTTATTTTTGAATTACCCGTTTTCTTTTTGTACCCGTTCTTTCCTTCTAAGATAAAATTATGTATATATTTTTTTTTATAAATGGCATCATTTACATATTTTTTTAAAAACAACATTATATTTCATCTAATTAACAACATTTAAAAAACAAATACCGTTAATTATTAGGTTGTAGAAACATATAGCCTGTTGAAGAAATGTAAGCAAAGAGTCACATTTATAAACTACGAAC